CACATAGAGCACAGGCGTGGGTATTATTGAAACAGAGTACACTTCATGGTGTGTTGACGTCAATATTATACGCGACTTTCGTTAGCATAGTTCTTCCTATTCGGGAAAGTCATATAACTTGCTGAGTTGTATGAATACAAATGTAGTATAGATTATACTGCTATAGCCACTGGGCCAACACTGTAACCGCAATTTTCGGTAAACCAGCATGTCGTCGCCCGTGGGCATAAATAATTTGTCAGTCACCTGCGATGCATATCCACATGCCGTCGCCCGTGGTATACTTTTAAGTGCCGAACGTGCACAGATGCGAAGGTTTGACGACGTACGCGACAGATTTTTCGCGTTATATGTCATGACCTGACCATTGCGCAGTTTCATCCGTCAAGTCCACTTACCCTGCCATACCAGTTTTGCTCTACAGCATGCTTAAGAATAGATAGATAGATAGATAGATAGATAGATAGATAGATAGATAGATAGATAGATCGATAGATAGATAGATAGATAGATAGATAGATAGATAGATAGATAGATAGATAGATAGATAGATAGATAGATAGATAGATAGATAGATAGATAGATAGATAGATAGATAGATAGATAGATAGATAGATAGATAGATAGATAGATAGATAGATAGATAGATAGATAGATAGATAGATAGATAGATAGATAGATAGATAGATAGATAGATAGATAGATAGATAGATAGATAGATAGATAGATAGATAGATAGATAGATAGATAGATAGATCTATTGCAAAAATCAGCGCCACTGGGTACCGGTGTCCAGTGCCATGTCTGGTTATGGGCCCAGTATGGCGCTGGTACCAGCACCTGCCAGCGCAGGTACTGGGACGCTGTACTCTGCGCAAAATGGCTTCCCAGGGATAAAACGGGGGGCGCCCATTCGCCATAAATAAATTAATATATAAGTAAAATAACGCGCATTCACAATAAAAACTAAAAAAATTAAAATTGAAAAAAAAGCTTTCCACTTGACGGTATTTGAATTTGCTACCTCCTGATCTCTAACCGAGCACGCTACCCAGTACGCCACATATTGTAAAACGACAATTTATCAAAAGAACACGCCGTTCAACTTCATGTTTACAAGTCGCACAGTCAAGAGTAACACGGTATTTCTTTCCAAATAACAACTGCGTCTTGATTCGACAGTGACGTACCGCTTCCGGGCACCGAATGACGTGCAGATATTAGCAAGGGCGCAAAGTTTTTCGAAGCATCTACATCATAACTCAGACAAATCTCAAATTGACTGGAGAAGCAGCCACAGATTGTCAGCTATTGCTGCCGATAGTCTTTTTTCCTTTAATAGTCGTTTCTAGCACTTTCTACTGGTCAACAAGTACAGATGATTTACATGTCTTGTTTGGTAGATATCCACGCACGCGAGTGAGAATTGAGTTCTTTTTTTTTTTTCGCTCAAGCGATGATGTAGCAGTACACATCCGGCGTGCCAGATCACATATTTGCAGTTATCCGATATCTGCAACTAAGAAACCGCCAAAGAAATGACTAATGCAATCCGCTGAAAAAGTATGCCAGTATGTTAGTTCCCTAACGCGTACCAAATTGACAACTCAAAATTGCGTGTTCTTACATACGAGTCTGAGAAGTACCGGCTCCTGCGCTCAGAAGGAAGCTTTCGGTGATAGCCTACGTTGCTGAAAGCACGACACATAGATCGTCGCCGCTCCTTGTGCGGGCACCGTACACGCAGATAAGGGGTCGATTTAGGCTCAGGGATGTCGAAACTCTACTTTACAGTCATTCTTACACTTTAGAACTGTGCCTACTTAAAGTAAAAAGTGCCGGCAGCAGGTACACCGACGCGGCCGGCACGATAGGCCTCGCTGGGACGGGGCACTGGGTAAGGCTCCTTTCGAAGCAGCTGAGTTGCGACACTTGAAGTTTCTGCATTTGAGCTTCACAATATTTCTAACTGTTACCTAAACTGTAACTGAAGTAAGTGGAAGGTCAATAGATGCCAGAAATGCGTTTACGGAGTAGCGATGGCGAGCGACAGCCGTTTTTCTGGCCTCTGCTGGAAGTAAACAGCGGGCGTGCCAGTGTACAAATATATGCAGTTATATCAATACCAACAATTAAAAAACACTAATATAAATACCAATGCAATCCGCTGAAAACCTATGCCAGGGAGTCAGTTCACAAAGGCGCACCAAATTACCAACTGAAAATTGCGTGTTGTTACATATCAGTCAGAGAAGTACCAGCAAAGTACGACCGGCAGCTTTCGGTGACAGCCTGCGTAGCTGAAAGCGCGACGTTCGATCGTCAGCGCTTCTTGTGCGAACGTCGACAAAAGACAAAATAGTTTATTTAGGTTCATATGGATGTCTAAACTATACGTTACAGTTATTCTCACACTTTAAAGCTGTGTGTACACGAAGCAAGAAGCGCCGGTAAAATATATACCAACGCGGCTGGCACGACAGGTTTAATGCTCGCTGGGCCGGGCTCTGGGTAAGACCACTTACGTATGCTTAGTATCTGTTAAACAAATTACGTATGCTCGGTATCTGTTAGGGTGGCATCTCTCCTTGCCGTCCAATCAAGCGTTTTATATTCAACGACACCGAAACAAACCACGGCACACGCTACAATAACATGCACGCTGCAGCTGCGCTGTGCGTGCTCCAGTATTCACCAGCGCTTCCCAGTGAAAATTCGAGCGCTTCCAGCACTTCGCAGTGCACACCAGCATCACAGCGGTTGAGCCAGCGCCCGTATACCAGTGTGACACAGCTTTTTCCTAGTGCGCCCAGCGAAGTGCCAGGGATTACAAGCGTGTACCAGCGCCTCCAGCGTGTACCAGTGCCAAAAAAAACGCCCTGGCATCACGATGTTTTTGCAATAGGGGATAGATAGATAGATAGATAGATAGATAGATAGATAGATAGATAGATAGATAGATAGATAGATAGATAGATAGATAGATAGATAGATAGATAGATAGATAGATAGATAGATAGATAGATAGATAGATAGATAGATAGATAGATAGATAGATAGATAGATAGATAGACAGATAGATAGATAGATAGATAGACAGATAGATAGATAGATAGATAGATAGATAGATAGATAGATAGATAGATAGATAGATAGATAGATAGATAGATAGATAGATAGATAGATAGATAGATAGATAGATAGATAGATAGATAGATAGATAGATAGATAGATAGATAGATAGATAGATAGATAGATAGATAGATAGATAGATAGATAGATATATGGCTTGGAGGAACTGAAAAGGGGCGAGTTTGGTTCGGTAAGGGTAATGAAGCGCGAAATCAGACCGTTACACAAAAAGGCAAAGCCAACATGACGCGTGCTGTAGATACATTGAAGACATTGACGTCCTCAGGGAACAATGTCGGCAACTAGCCCTTCATTAGGTAAAGGTACGCTCAGGGTTCTCATTTTGGCTTCATAAGAATTGCACTACAGCGATCGGGAATTGAACCGACACTCCGGTAATCAGCAGTTCATAGAACGCCACCCACGGCCAGCGACTCAGCTACAGTGTATGCTTGTTTTTCGCTCTAGCGCGAAGGACAACTGTCAGAGTTCGCTGTTCACAGCACGCGTCGCAGTGATGTTCACTTGACCTTGAATATGCTGCAGTCAAATATGTGACATCAAATTCGTCCGCTCGGTTATTCGGCCGAGAGAACTCGCCCACGCACGAAATTCCACCTCGTGCCAACTGGCTTCGTGGATGTGGTGCACTCGGCTGTCTTGTCGGTTTTGCATCTGAGTTGCCGTTGATGTTGAGGCCGCAGTAACACGTGTAATGCGATCGTTTGGCTGTTTGTCTTCTGTTCTCAGTGGCACCGCATGATGAGTGGCGCATCTCACTCGCGAGTCGGCACACGAGCGTGCCGTTGCCATGTGACGGTGGTGAGGGCACCAGGCCATGCTCCCTCGCAGGTCACACAGCGTATTGATCCCGCCGCCCTGATGCCGTGCACGGAGCAAGCTATAATACCTGCGGCTAAAAGGTAGTGCCTAATTGTTCCGAAAAGATAACCGCTGGCCGAAAGGAGATTAACGGCCGCACTTTTGTTGTCCTTACGCACGACCCCTTTTACTACGTGTCTGCAAACAATCACAAAAAATGTTAAATTTCAGTGGAACACGCTGAGTGCCGGTACTACGCTTTACAAGTTGTCGGTTTTGTTTGATTCCAGTTTTTTTTTTTTTTTTTTTTTTTTGCTGTCACGTCGTAGTGGCTCAGAACATTGCCCTACATTTAAAATAAGAAAGGAGGGCGACAGTACCAAAAATCACGTTTTGCCATTTTATTTACTACTACTTGATTTGCTGGCCAGCTGACGATAATTGCCTTTTTTTCCTTTCAATTTTTTGTGTCCTTCCAAAGCCGGTGTACACGTTCTAGGTAACCCAAAGAGCCACGACGTATTGTACGATGGACTCGCAGAAGTACCTGAAACTGAGAGCAAAGGTCTCTCGCTTTCACTACCGAATCTGTATTTTCCTGTCGAACACGGAATGAAAACAAAACCAGTGGGGGCGATCCGTTGCGCGATGCCTTCGCGCTCTTCCGGGTGACGTCGCGCGAGCGAGCCCCGCGATTGGGCCGCACGGTTCGCCCTCTCCCGCGCGGGGCTCGCCAGGGTGACTCAAACGCGTCACAGCTCGGGTCACGTCCAAGAACTCCACCCTGTTCTGTCAGACGTCCCTTGAGGATTCTGCCGGCAGTTCGCGTTTGTCGTTCTCGTATTTTTGTTTTCTCCCGGCGGTGGCACACCGCCGTCGTGCGATAGCCTGTCTCGCCCACTGTTCTGTGTTGTCAGCTCACGTACGGCGTGATTGCTACAGGGCTGTAATTAAGGTGCGGCCTTTTGACGGAAGTGGAAAAGGAGAGAAAAAAATATAAGCTGCTTTCCCTATGCCACTGGTCAGCTATCAGTCTTTTTCGGGACATGGGACGCTACTGTCTTCTGGTCTCCGCCTGCATTCTGCTGGCCGCTTCTACATTCGTCCGGGCGCAAAGTGAGTAGAGTATGTCTCTTCCATGCGCGTATAGTATGTAGCTTCAACTGGCTAACAATACGAACTAACGCGACGATGTAGTTCATTGTGAACCGATATGTTTTTCATGGACGATATAGCACAGTTCACCGCGAGACATTACCGATTGCAGTTTCAGGTTTGAGCGAATGCCCAGAGAAAAAGGCCGTCAATTTCCACCTCGATACATACAAGCATATAGCCAAAAAATAAACCGTCGCTGAAACGCCGAACCAAATGTTACCTTTATTGCCTATCGTATGGCTACAAAAGGAGAAAAATAAATGGGGGTGGGGGGGGGGGGGGGTATGGGCACAACTTTTGAAGAGTACTGTCTTCAAGGAGTGACTGTCTTCAAGGTGTAAACATAAAATGGTTTTGGTGGTGAGGAGGGATTGTTGAGCGTGTTTTCAAAGCGGTGCGCTTGAGGATGATTATCGGAAACGACTGACAATTCATTTCGAGTATGATTTCCCTCCTTTTTCCCGATTGGGCTAATTTTAACCCAACACGACGCTTGGCTTCAAATTGAGCCCACATTGTAGGGACAGTCAAGAAATGTACACTGCTCGGGTAGTGCATGCATCATACGTGTTAAATATGATGGACAGGTACGTCTTACCGATCGTTGTCTCTTTCCTCCAGTTGCGAAAACTTTCCCGCGTCCTGCACTTTGACACCCGCATCATAGGAGGCGACTAACAACGCAGAATAACCTAAAAGATATTATTCATATTGTTATATAAGTTCATTAGCTTGAATGACGTGGACAAGATTTTCTTACGTGAGGTATAACCGGTTCTACTGCTCCCTGGAAACACTGTTGTTTGTCCTCCTAGCTTGTTCTAAGTGAGTTGTGATGAACTCAACTCCAAGAAGAGCTACCGCAAGCAGGCTAACCTTTCATCAGTTGCGTGGAGATTAGCAGACTACGATAACGGCTTGTGCGTAAAACAGCACACAGCAGTGCTGTCGTTGAATATAATATTAGGCTGCCTCGGTATAACGCCACAGTAGAGCGGTAAATATGAACTGTATCCCCGCAACGCTACAGCGAATTGCAGGTTACTTACTCAAGCGTAACACGCTGCGTTGTATTTGTATTCCAATCATGCAGTAGCGTCACAGATGTATGAATCTGGTTTCATGCTATCGGTGGACAACTTAGACATTTATGAGGTTCAAGAGCAAAGACGGAAAATAGTAAACCATGCTCTCTTCGTTTACTTGATGAACCGTTTCCGTACTTCTAACGCATACTGTTGTAAGCTCCTCGTCTGTGAAGCGGATGATGATGCGAGCGAGCGGGAACATGGCTAATTTAGTGAAGTTCAATAGATCGAGGAGGCATGATTGACCTACAGCTCTGTTCTGCTAATACCAAGACGCCGAAGAGCACGCCGCTGTCATGAAGACGCTGAATTTACGTAACAACTAGGTCAGCTCTTTCATTCTCAGCGCTATAAAGTTGTGTCCAAATAATTACCCATCGCGAATTGTAGCAAATGAGCTTTCCAGCCGTGATAAGTGAGTCGTTAGCTACCCGTTTCAACAACAAAAAAACAGATGCAACATTTTTTTATTTTTTTTTTTGCGTCAGTGCTCTGTTATTCGGTCCCCCATCCCATACCCACGGAGCTATGACAACACCCTCTAAAAATTCTTCAGGTTTCTTCCTAACCTCCTCTAACCGCATGCTACGTCAAGGAGAGTGTCGAGCGGAATGACTCTAAAAGCATCTGGCTACACTTTATGGCTCCACGTCTGTTCTCGGCGATTCAGCACGCTTGCCCGGGCAAGTCAGTGCATGCGCGCCAACCTGCTGTGCAATTTGTGTTCTTCGTTACGTGCGTTCGCGCTCAATTCAGTGTTATCGTGTCCGTGTGAGCGTTCTTTTTTTCGGCGTACATTTGTTAACGCCCGACGCGATGTTTGGCGCGAATTGCAAGGATCGCAATGACTGCAAGTTCGTGCAACATGGGCCGGTGTTGTGTTCCTGGATGCCCCGGAAACTGAGAAATTGGGTCAAAAGTGTGCCTGTATGCATTCCCAATTGATGACGCCCCGAAACAAGCGTGGTTTTGAGCTATCCCCCGCAACAACAGTGCATTCCAAGGTACAAAATTCTAACATTGCTTTATCGGGTGTGTGAATCGCTGTTCTTAGCTGCAACTACACTAATTATTGAAAGAGAATACTTTTTTGTACATATTGAGAATAGTTCAATACAACAATGAATAAACAAGCATTTCTCGTGAATATTCACTGAGCAGTGGAGTCAGTTTGTAAAAGATCAGTGCTAAGAAGGGTATCCTTCTCGCAGTATAGTTAAAATACCTTCTATTTTGCTCTTTCTGCCATAAAGCATGCCTGGTTTGGTCGCTGTGTTTTGTTTTCTGCAGGTTGATGTGTGCAACCATCCTCCTATGAAGCGTCTTATTTAGCAAGTTGTTGCGACAATAAAAATGGAATTCTCAGAATGTGATACAAGAAAGAAAACAAAAGTAGTAACAATGTAATTTCCTTTCGTTGCAAATGTTGAAATCTGCCTTTAAAGTTAGCTTAATTTTTCTTCTCTTGCTTCCTTCATTTTTTCATTAATTGAAAAATCGTAGGCGCAGTACTTTCCCGGTCCGTGGATAGCAAAATTCATAGCGTCGCGTAAAAAAAACTGTTTGCTATGTTACGCGCATCACTGTGCCGTTTTTTTTTTTTAAGGAATGACTTCGTGCTTATACCATAGTTAAATAATTATGAAAGAACATGTCTTCGCAGGTTATATCTACGCGTAGTGTCTTTTATGTGTAGCGCGTTTAAAACAGCCACTTTTTTTTTCATGCATTCGCAGGTTTGTGAGCTTCACTTCCAAGCAAAGAATTTCATAACGACGCTGTCAAATCAAGATGAACGAATAGGAAGGATAATAGAAGTAGAACGGGAGAAACGCAAGCTGAAGCACAATGAGCCCCGCCGCGGTGGTCTAGTGGCTAAGGTACTCGGCTGCTGACCCGCAGGTCACGGGATCAAATCCCGGCTGCGGCGGCTGCATTTCCGATTGAGGCGGAAATGTAGGCCCGTGTGCTCAGATTTGGGTGCACGTTAAAAAAAACCCAGGTGGTCGAAATTTCCGGAGTCCTCCACTACGGCGTCTCTCATAATCATATGGTGGTTTCGGGACGTTAAACCCCACATATCTATCAATGAAGCACAATGTTTTACCTTTCGTCTTTCACAACTGTCTAAAATACTTGTCCTCAAATCCAACACATCGTGAATAGCCAGCGAGAAAGATCGCAAGAAGGGAGAGTGCTGCTTTGCAAGAAGCTATAAACAGGTCACTTGAGTCTAGAGAACTTGAGCAAAAAAGAAACAAGGTGTCTTCATATGCGGACTTCAACACAAAACTGTAAGGGATCTGCGATTATAATTTTTGGACAGTACCTATCAGCAACGAGTGCGTAAGGTTTCGTGTCATCAAAAACAATCATTCTCCTTACGTTAAATGCTCATTGACTGTTCTCCCAGATCTCTTACATTCCGTTGTTTGGAACAGAGTGCAACTCCGATTGCTTCTTTCTGGTAGCGCTGTTCCTAGTGCAGTGCTTGGGATATCGCTATGACATGGTTCTGGTAACGAAGCTAGTTGTGCAGAAACTGTCATTGAGAGAATACGCCAAAGAATTTCTCTCATGCAGTGACCAACGCGGTATCGTCGCTTCTATGGCATTTTCTTTGCTGGACCACAGACTGACATTTATACATCTAAAAATGGTCACACCGCACAAACTATCTTGCACTTGTAGTTCACAGAGCAACCAATGTTGTCTTGAACAACGTCTTCAGGCTGAAAAACTACAACATCTAAGACAATGCGCAGAAGAAGGCCGGAGCACGGAAATCAGCAACACCGAAGAAAAAGTGACGTTTTAACGGAATAAAGCTCATTTTCTGTCGTATGGTTTCTTCTTACGAGATTGAAACTACCTTCAGAATGCTTACGTTGTGCCCGAAAAAGCTTTTCACATACACGACATGGCATTTTGTACCGATCACGGACTATTCCAACACCAGTAGAAGCAAGCGTGACGCTCCTAAATATCGGAACGCAGCGCCCGCACGGGCCCTCAGGGTGATGTCACGCAGTCTTCGGAAAGGCCTTGGGAATCGAGGGGGTGTTGGCTATGACCGCCAAAGTAGGCGAACTGGGAGGCATGCAATCTTTAGGTAAGCACGAACTCAACATGTCTTAACCCCCGCGTAATTAGGGAGCACGATTAGCAAATGACAAAAAAAAAAGCCTTTTTTTTTTTCGAGAACCATTTTTCGTAGCGTCCAGCGCCAAGCGCCATCAACCTTTGTCTGTGCAGTGATTGTAACAGGGAAGCTTTCAATGGGCATCTTCTAACCATATTTCTTGAGGTATGAAGTGTTCCAAGTAGACCGTGCCGCCTTCGAAAACGGTGCGCGTAACAGACGACGAGCAGACGACGCACGACGCGTCGGGCACATCACGTGATCAGGGAGCAAAGTCAGCGCCTAGGCGGGTCATCGGTACGGACTACAGCGCCGTCTCACACTGCCTACGTGTGAAAATGAAGTCTGTGTACACATTGTACAAGAATTAGCAACATACTAAATTTATAATCGGAGTTGCTCGAAGTTGAATGCGTAAAAATCGCCTGTAAGGGTTGTGTCCACACCTCAATGTTTTCTAGTCGTCTGTTTGTCGTATGCTCGTCTTCTGGCACAGAGCGAATTGACCAAGTCTTGCAAAAGCATGGAATGCTATGAGAAGGAATGCTATCGGTTAACTTTTTAGGATCTGACCTCGCGTAACTCTTTGATACGCTAAGGGTGTATGGGAGTACGGTGGCTTCATTGAGCGAAGTGGATTGCGTGCTCTGTAATCTAAACGTGAACTAAGTGGGCCGTTTGCTTACGTCTACCGAGACAGCACGCACGTTATCGCCAGCGACCACGCTTTTGTGGTCAGAGTTCATAGCCAGAGTTCCCCGCTCACATCACAGATTTCAAATTGTGTTTTAAATGCGAAGCATTTTTTATCGAATTGCGGCGACTTTGAGCGTATCTATCTATCTATCTATCTATCTATCTATCTATCTATCTATCTATCTATCTATCTATCTATCTATCTATCTATCTATCCGCCTACGACGTTCAGCTCTCCTGGCCGTTTCGATAATGGGGTCTATACCAAAATTGATATGGCATAACATGATTGTATGGCGAGCTTAAGTGACTTATCATAACATGAAAATCTTGAAATGTGTGTCATGAATCTCATTATTTATATGTCATGGTCCTACTGTTACTACGGTAATATGGTTCACATGACATATTGCAATACTGGTATGGTAGGACATTACTGCATGGCGAACATAAGTGATAGGCCCTAACGTGACATTCATGACAGGCGTGTCATGTGTGTCATGAGTACACGCCACGCTCATGGTGCGCTCGTGACCGTTTCGCTAGATTGTCACACACCTGATTTGATATTACGCGAAATGAAAGGATGGCGAATGTGTATGACTGGTTCAAACATGATAACATGCATGTCATGTAAAACATGACTACATGCTACGCTCATAGCGAGCTCGCGGCCGTTTCGCTAGCTTCACATATACCAACTTTAGTCTTATGTTACTTGAATCGACGACGAAAGCAATCGACACGTCCAAACAGGATAATCATCTCTGGATATGTGTGTCATGTAACATCACAACGTGCTATATACGCTCACGCGCTCACGGCCTTTTCGCTAGCTTCACATATACCAAATTTGGTGTTTTATAACGTAATGAATGAAGTTATATGACTGGTGCAAATATGACAATCATGACTTGCGTGTCATGTTAGAACATGACTACACACTACGCTCAAGATGCGCTCGCAGCCTTTGTTAACTTGGCATATACCATGTTTGACATGCGAAATACAAGCCGGGTGAAAACAAATGCCAAGTGAAAACATGGTAATCATAACATGGAAGTCATGAGAGACGCAATCCGGGCTTGTTGGCTCGCAAGACATGTACGACAAAATTTATACACCACGCTCATAGTATGCTTGCAGCCGGTCCACTAAAGCTATATACGTCTTAGTAGGGATCAAATGACGTCGCTATAATGCGAACTTTAATTACAGATTCTAATATAGAAATGACGACATGGATGTCGTGTACATACGTATCCGTGTATCAATGCTAGCGGTAGTATTGCAAACGTTAGAGGTACCGTAGTTACGCGACTATATGCACCATACTTGCATCTTATCTAGATACGTGCGTCCGTCTCATAACATTGTGCTGATTTTAAAGTGACTTATCAAGCTATCTCATTTGTGCTCCGCATATTATCAATTCCCAGAGTACGCGGGATCTGCCAATTTTTTTCATAGTTTGACGTCATTACTGAGCACAATTTCCTGAAACTTGGTATCCTTCTCTCAGCGAACAATGTACCTCATACTCACAGACTGGGAGCTTCGTAGGTCCTAGAAGATGCCGTAAAAATGTATAAAGTTGCTGATTTTGGTACGCAAACTTGAAGGTGGCCCTGGCCTGTCGCAATCTTGTTGTTGTTGTTGTTGTTGTCTCACTTGCAAAGCTTCTTCAGGCGGCAAGCGCGGTGATTTTGGAACGCTGAAGTAGTAATTAATTATGTGAAAAAAATCATTTTTTCTCGTCGTTGGGCCTTTAAACACAAACATGAACGAGACTATGTACGTTGAGCGTGTGCAAAATGAAATGACCTGCACTGTGTCAAAAACGCAGAAAGGCGGCGATGCCACTTCTTCCAGAAGGCATGCATACGCCTCGCTAGGGCTAATGCGCGCAAAAGCGACTCCATGAAGTGGCCGCGCATCCTTGTCGTCTATTATGTGTCTTATAATGGGCTCCTCACCACCCAGCAGTCAACGACGAGGAAGTGGTTTCCTCCTCTCCTTCGCACGCGCGGTGCGCCATCCTCGCCCCTTAGTTCTTAAAAGCACGTGAACAGTGTCAGCACGAAGGGATTCCACGCTTCTTGGGCTACAGGCTGTAATCGCCGCTTGCGCACTTGTAAACACACAAAATGAAGCGTGATCGGTTGATCGTGCATGATATTCGTGCGAGACAAGCTAGAATGAATGGGCGGCCTTTCGGCAAAACAGTGCATGGGACAAATCACATTTGACATTTCGCGTGAAGGCACTAATCGAGAGCATGTACACTATAGACATCATGTCAACTACTGTCTGCGTCACACATGTGCGCAAGGTGGACAAGAAATATCACAAATATTTTTTTTGTATTTCTAGAGCCTGGTGAATAGCCCTTCAAGTTAAAAGAGCACCATTCTCATAGCTGCTTTATTATCGTTTTTTAACTAGCAGTTTTGGTATGGCAGGAAAAAAAAACGTCGGCGTTGTTGCCGAAAGCGATGGATGCACGACGACAGCATAATTGCGCATAGCGCTTGCGCGTATTGGGCAAACTTCTAGGCAAATTCGCCATGTTAGCGTATCTCACCGTTCCTTATTTAGCGCAGGTATTGCCTTGCGCATCCTCATATAATACTTGGGACCTTTGGACACGATGGATAACAACAAATTACTGCGTGTATTACGTGCACTCTACGTGCATTCTAGCTAAGCCCCAGGTGCAGCCAGAAATTTGTTATCGGGGTGGAGGAAAGGGGGGCGACGACGCACGTGAGAAGTTTAGCCACCCTCTATGTGGGTCCATGCGTGTATTTGTATGCTTACCTATACAGGATGTTTCAAGAAATGTGTTCAAAGGTCCTAAAAATTAGGGGAAATTTGTTAGGGTAGGGTGGGGTAAAATGAGACACGAGGCAAAACGCGGCAATTTGATTTTGCCGGCCTCTGTAGCTCTTACAAAAACAACTTTTCTTTGTTTCTCTTTTCCAGCAATAAATGCTCGTCCTTTTCCACCTTTTATTGTGTAAACGTTGGTGATTGCTCACGGCGTTCGCACGGGAAAAATTACGATGCAGGTGTCTGTTTCATCGCCGTGACCAGTCAAAGAGGGGCGAAATTCTGCTCGGCCAAATGTTCGTATCCATGCATGAACCTACTCCTGCGTCTGTGCAGTAACGTAAATATATATTTAGTCATGTATGACTACAAGCTACATAAAACAAAAAATTTGGTTTGTTTGATGCCCTGGGACAATGTTTTTTTTTTAATTCTGGCGTGTGACGGGGCAAATGCGACAAAAAGGCATCCAATTGCATGAGAGTGTGTATCATTGATTTAACCATTAACGTACAAACTTTATGTATTATATTACTTTGTTCAAAGGGTTTCAACATACAAAAGAATATTACATAAAGCTTCCTGGGAAAAAAGCGACATAAAAATCATTGAATGCCGTTCAAGACACGACTCCCTCCATTCTTGCTGCAACGAGGTTTTTTCGTGTTCCCAATGATTCTACCTAGAGACGCATAAGAAATTGCGGAATATCCAAGTCAAGTCGTTGACAAACACTTCATTGGATTATATTTTAACGATGTTTATCATATACCCCAAATAAAAAAAGAAACAAGCGTTATAAAGTCTGAATGTAGCCCAGTTTTAAATTATTTGGCTCCCTAAGTCAAGCGGACGAAGTTAAAAGTCATAAAAATCTTGTGCAGTGATGCATCAAAACTGTAAGAAGTGGTGAAGGAGATACGTCAAAATATATCTAGCCTTCAATCGCTGAATAATCTATTGAGGTGCAAAGGTTTAACGAAACACAATATTAGCACAAAGAAAGACTGGCGAAGCTGGATTCGCAAGGAGATTCGTAGCAACATATCCCCGGATTCTTTCTAGATGTAATGCGTGGAGTCCAATGACTGAGATTCTTAAGGCTCGTTAAAGGGCCACAGGCCAGTCTTTTTACAGCAAAAGCTGGAAAAATGATTTTTTTCACATTGTTTAGTTTATCCCCACGCAGTGTTTTGTTTTTCCTCGCAGGTTGGAGGAAAAAGAAACATCTGGAGCATTATTTCTCTATTTTTTAAATCATGTTTTCAACGGTGGCAACATGGCAATATATGTAGCACATACTTCGTACCGAAAGTAAAGTTTATGCATTGATTTTTAACTGGAAGTAGTGAAATGAAAAGAAATATTCACAGTTTTAAAACTTTTGTCGCATTTTATTTTATCATACGCTCTGCTTGCTCGCATTCTTTATACTTTTTTTGTGCTGGCTGACATCTCAATAGCTTCAGTCGTTAAATGAGTGCTTGCCCATAGCTATTTCTCATGTGCTGTCTTGATGAAGCTGAGAGTGTGGCGGCATCCCGCCTAGTCGTGGAATAAGATGGATGAAAAAACCACAGCGCCAACTAAAGTAAAGATATATTATAATCCTATAAAGATGTTTTGGCGTCTTTTTAAGGATATCTGTTTACTTTGGCCTGCGCTGTGTTTTCTTCGCCCACGTTGTCTTGTTGGGTATTGCCCATAGATAGAAAGCATGTTCCCGCACGCTAAATTAAACCAAACGAACTACTGTGTGTGACGTTGGGGCCCAGGAGACACGGACTTCTACTTCGGCACCAGGGTGCGCTGCCACACGTGCGACGCCGACTTCACCATCGAGAAGTTCTCGGTGGACCACCCCTGCCTGGTTGGACAGCGGGAGAGGGACGTGGCCTACTGTAGCGTCAACTCAAACTTCTGTAAGGTGGGCACAGCCTTTGATAGCGAGATCAAGTCCATCGGTCCTCGCGCGTGCCTTCACAGGCTGCCCAAACACCTGTCGCGGGCTTTAGCTTCCTACCGTTCTGCAACCGATGAGAAAGGGCTGCCATGCGGGCTGAGGGGTACGCACGAGTTATTCGAGCTTCGTCTGTCGTGTATATGCAAATTAATCATGCGCGCATCCAAATACTTGGTCTTATTGTATTGGTATCGATAATTTGCGTGTGTTGATATCTCTGCTCCCTTACTGTCGCACTCCCGTGTCTCTCTCGGCTAGTGTTCTAGCACGAAATTGTTTTATGCCGGAGTCCAGCACGGCTCCACTTGCGGGTTTCCGTCAAGGATAAGACGTAAAATCTATATTAACATATTGCACAGAAAAAAAACGAGAGGGAAAAGAATTGGTTGTGGAACGTCGAACCAGCGTTCTTTCAATCCGCAGCGCTAACCACTAGACCAAAGAGCATACGTTGTCAAGAGTGTTAACGACAAGTCATTTATATACACCATGTACCATTTGATGGTCCTCAGAGCTTATAAACTTCGGCGTGTTTTCATCATCAGTAGCGAGAAGGCGCCAAGGACGGGTTCAGTTGGGCCCGCTCTAAAAATCTCGCCTGTCTCATTTCGGAGAGCGCCGCCTCCACGGAGCATGATCTCTCCTGCATGTGCGCTTATCATATTGGCGTTTCGCTGCCGCCGCCACGTTTGCCAAAGAAGCACGCTGCTCACACACGAAGATCTAAGAATTGTGACAGTTCTGTTTTGTGCGGCTTTAAAGGGCCACTCAACAGGCCCCGTAACAAATTTGAGTTAGACCGAGGAACTTGTTGTGTACTCGATGAAGAACATTATGCCATTTCTTTCAATCTGTTTATTACGAGCGGAGAAAATTGAAGGATGTGAGCTCTAAACCCTTGCCGCTCACCCCGCGTAGCTTTCGCAAGCCAAATCTCTTCCCTACTCTCTTCAGCATCCCGTCAAGAGGTCACGTGCCCATGACGTGCCCGAATAATTCCGAAATCCGAGTAAGCGAGCGGCGTTGTTTTGCTGACCAGCATTATTTTGTGGTCTGCTGCCTGTTTCTCCAGGATGGTTTGGAGACGCTAGCTTTGACGTGGTAGAATATATGAGCATAATGAGTGATAGAATGCGCAGAACCATTCATTTTTTTCCCAGGACAAGCGTCTGCTTGATGCGCTAACCGCCAGGACACAACCGCATGCGAAACGCAGGATCGTTAGCCCCGCAACTCGTTGTAATTCATGGGAGAAAATGTAAAAGACGCGCACATTCCCTCATCGCGTCTCGTTATTTACCTCAAGTTTTATTCACTTATTCGAGCAAAAAATGAATAAACTACACACGTGGTGTTTTCGTAATTTTAGCCATGTCACGTTCTACTGTTGCACAGTCAGAGCACAGTCGTCTGCGCAGTGGAACAACGTCACAGTACTGCCGTGCACATAAGGCAATTCTTACGTGTGCTTTATGCCCTCATTTTCTGGGCGCGTACATGCCGGCGAAGGAATGGAAAGCAGCGTTCATTTTAAAATTTGACCCACTTATGCGGCGCGTAGCGTTGCATACTTTGGCAGACGCCATCGTGAACATCCCATGTACGCATTGCGCTTGTCAGGTCAAAATTGTGAAACCTGGTGAGTGGCCCTCTAAATTCGTTCTGTTTGAAATGTGCGCTCTAAGTGTCGGGCTGTGACAGTAAGTCCGCGTTAGGCCTTTGTATGCTCTTTCCGTGTGCGCTTTCTGTTTGAGGTGCGCGTTGCAAGTTTCGAACTGCTTGTCCTTCTTCGCGTGACATCGCGATTGTTGCTGTAGCATTCATTCCTTCGCCCTTGTGGTGAAACAATGCACAATATGCGCTAAGCTACCTGTGTAAAGACACGTTTCACTTTTGTGTCATAGCGATTCCTAAAAAGGGGGATCAGCACCATTTTTTTTCCACTATCCTAGCAGTCACGACTTCTCAAAGTCAAGGAGTCTGTTCATTCTCGTCGAAAAGAAAGATGGAGAAATAAGTGAAATGTTTCAACTCCCACTAACATGCTTCATAGCTTCAGACACAAGAATACCAGGCTTCTCTGCAAGACTGAATCGATGTGTGTGTGTGTGTGTGTGTGTGTGTGTGTGTGTGTGTGTGGTGTGTGTGTGTGTGTGTGTGTGTGTGTGCGCGTGTGCATGTGTGTGTGCGTGTGTGTGTGTGTGTGTGCGTGTGTGTGTTCGTGTGCGTGTGTGTGTCTGTGTGCGTGTGCATGTGTGTGTGTGTGTGTGTGTGTGTGTGTGTGTGTGTGTGTGTGAGAGAGAGAGAGAGAGAGTGTGTGTGTGTGTGTGTGTGTGTGTTGTACAAGTGAATTTGATTCATACGCCTACTCAATTGAGATCGAAATACAAGCATCAGGAAATACGTATTATGAAAAATAGCCTCCATTGCTTCTCGTTTGCCGCGTCTCTACATTTATAACTGCGTACCGGATACCAACATACAGGAGCTCCCTTGCCACTGCACATTGCTCTGTGTCAGGCAGAACATGTTTTACAGGGACGGTCCTAGGAGAAGCATTGGCGGTAATCGAGTTGCTTCAATTGACAAACGAATTAGATGTTTATTGTTTCATGAGCCCGTGTGTTGTCTTCACATTTGATAGGTGGCCATGTCACTTCAGGTAAGTATCGACTTTTGTGGCGCTCACGTAATCACGAGTGCTAGAATAGGTTGAAGAAGCACCCTGCCTATAGTGGTCATATATTCAACCGCAACTAAGTCAGCTCGTCATATAAAAGAAAGGTGGAATTTTAAGCAGCGGGATTAGCATACTCCAATCAAGCTACGCCTAACGAGTGCCTTTAACGTTGTTTTTGTTTTGGTTAGAATTCTCCAACATTCACTGAAATACAGTGCAGTCACTCTGTTATGGCTTGCATTGCATTGCGAAAACGCAGACGATAAAGGGTTGCTGCAGTAGAGCTGATTTCGAAATGGGCAAAACAGAAGACTATGCAGATCACCTTTTGCACCTAAGAAAAAAAAAACTTCGTACTCGTCAGTATGATTTAGTAGAGTGGAAAGTTGGGCTAGCTGGAATGCTTGCATGATTGACGATGCGCTAGTGAAGAAGACGCACTCTGTGTTCTTTCGTCGTTCTTTGTATAGCACTGCGTCAATCATCCCATGCTTTGAGTGTGTGCAGATACAGTCTTTCTATTCCCAACAGGCTATGACAACTTATGACAGTTTTGTGAACAACAGAGCACTTCCACCCCATTCCAGTAAAATACTTTGAAAGACTACCCTTTCTACTGTACCACATGAAATGAAGAAACGCTAAAAAAGAATATTCAAACACTTATTTCTTCATTTCATAACGTACAGTTATGTTTTTTTTGTATTTCAGAACGTCGACAATGGTCGGCAAGCGAAAAGCGCTTGTCAATTGTCAATACTTTGTATTTCTTTCCTGGAGAGGATCGTAGCACTAGCTTTCTTTTTGTTACCTTTAGGTGTTCGCACTCGGAATATTTTGTTTACAATTTTTGTTAGATATAATCTTTAATCTAGCTTTATGTCTCAACTCCTTTTTTTTCTGTCTCTCTTTGTACCGTTTCATCTTCTTCGAGAAGACTAGACTGGGTACAAGCTCAGACGTTGCGTTTTCCCTTTTGGGAAAATGCAATTTGTTCCCATTTTTTTCACTCGCCGCAGTCTTCTTGCAATGCATATTGTTGTTGTTTGTCTCCACCAATGGGCGCAGGTGGAGGTGACGCGCCTCAACGGCGTGCTGGTGACGTACTCGCGGCGGTGTGCCGACAAATGCTCCCCGAATTGCTACGAGAAGGGCTTCGGCATGCTCAGGGAGCAGTGCACCTATTGCTGCCGCCGCAACCCCGCCTGCGGGGAGAAGCGCAAGCCCTGACGCCCGCCGCACGGCGCACGCACGGCCGCCACCACAGGTATACGTACAGGCAGAGAACGCATACTGGCCATTCCTTTCACAGCGAATGCTGCGCGCCATCCATCGGAGAAGCCACCAAGTGATTACGTACGATTTTAAAAGAGCATTTTCAACGTCCAACGGGCATTTTCAAAGCTGAGAATCATCAGTCGAAAGGAGCACACCTCCATGAGTGCCAGCAACTTCGCAAAGTATGCTTGCGCCTATTACAACATCCTTTGACACTTTGTTTCTTACAGTCAATGCAGTTGTGCAAGTAAAAATTTTGTTGTGTGTATTTAATAACAATACGTAAGAAGTGTGAATAAACCAAAAACCTGGCAAATTTATCTTTAGTGCTAGAAGAAAACAAGTGTCCGCATAAGAGTACGCTGGGAAGGCTGTTACGCTAGGTCCATCATACTTCTTCATTGTATACTTGGGAATTTCACCAGCCGGCAACTATTTTTCAGCGCATATTAGTTGTAATGATCGTTGACATCATCGTTCATTCTCGTTCATTATCGCCATCACCAACGCCTTATTCCTCACGTTCAACGTTTTCATCGTCATCATCATCCTTGCCGTTCAAGGCCCATTTCCTTTCCCACAGCTCTACTTGATTCACTGTGATACTGATCATATTTATCATGGTTTATCATCCCTACTAAAGCGTTCATGGTTACGAACAAACTGAATGCTTCCATGATCATCAGCAGCAATGTTGAAATGGTTCGTAGATAGCTCTGCTTCAACGAACAAATTATTTCTGCTTTCCAAATCAGATCATTCGCTTTCGCTAGACAACTCGAAAACTATGGCAGATGTATCTTTATAACTAAATATCTCTCCAGAATAAAGCATATTGATTGGCAAGATAACTTTAAAAGTAGTATTTACCTATACTACAAATAATGTTCTGTAAAGCCGCTTGGTGATGAAACAACTTCATGTACCACGCAACGTTCTACCAGCCTCTTAGATGAACTCGGCATGCCTGGCTTCCACAAACACGGACGCTGCAGCGCCAATTTAGCTTAAAAAACTTTGGTCATTCGCAGTGAAACAAAACTCAAACAAAAACAAGAGAAGCCTTTCCTTTCCTCAAATAAATCTGAATAATTGAGAAACGCTGTGGAGTTTAGAGTGAACCTATAAAAAACATCTATAGACATACACATTTACAAGTGACGTGAGCAGAGCGCCATTTGTGTGCGCACACGTACAAACTGTTTTTTCAAAAAAAGAGGACATGTATATATGTTTGTATGGAGCTCCACAAAAATAGCAACATTTTGAATCGATTTTCAGGTAATGCGTTGGGCAGCCTCATCGCACTACGCAGACATGTTCTTTCCACGTATTTGGGCGCTAGGATATAAAGCGTTACTGTTGTAATACGAAGAAACGCGGGTGTTTTGCATTCAAATATTTGTGCTTGTTTTGCATTTCGTGCTTTTGTGGTTTTTTATGTATTGAAGGTTCCAACCTTTCAGACGTTTAAACACACCTGGTGAGCATGGCCTACACTTTATCACATTAGCTGTGGCTGCCCAAAGCACTCACTACACCTGACACACACTCACGCATGTGAATTGGTGACAACACGGGTGTCCAGTATTTACGATGTTTTATTGGTCATAATTCCTATATTGCGTTGAGTTCTGTATTCCGTTTCGCCTTCGTTATTACTGGTTCGTTATCCGTGAAATGTTGAACCAATGGTTTTTCGACGGGATCTAGCCTTACCGTGTGACAAACAATGATGATAATTACAATAGGTTTTCATACAGATGAAGATGACGAAGTACATAGTGAGAGCTCACGCTATTTTCTTCATTTGTGAAATTGAAGTTTGCAAAAACGAGGTATATGCAGGTTTTCCTAATGGTTTCTGGTTGTTGTGTTCGTTTCGTATTTTGGTCATTTCGGTAAACGCGTTATCAAAGCACGGGTGATCTCGCATTTTGCAGCTGCGCCCGAAGCTCTGAAGCTTCAGAGTAAACAGCTAGTCGGCATTGCTGCTGTGCCACTGCTTTCCAAAATCTCGCCTCCGGGCTAGCCTGTCGTCTGCGTCAATGTTGCCTTTCACGGTCCAGAGTGCATTCACGAGCGTTCTCATCCGTGGCAGGAAGAGAGCGTGATTTGGAATGCGCTAATTTTTCTCGTCACCAAATTACAACTGGTAAAAAACAAGACGAATGCTTATTTTTAAGTCACCAAAACTCTTCGGAAAAATCAATCTCATATCCGAAGAAGGTGTAATGAACCCTTTTAATGGTTACATCCTTTACTACTGTCGTGAGCAGCTAGAACGCACCGGAAATATCACGTGGTAACGTTGGGACCACGTGACGCTGGGACCGTGCTATATATTCTACACAAGCAGCAAAAGCGTTCTTGGTAGTCATGTGTTTATACTCGTATACTCAGTGTTCCAGTAGTGTTATAGCGTCTATAAGGTGAACCCCTGGGACCAAGCAGCCGGTGGCGCTCGGAAAAAGCAGCGTCTGTCTCGCTTTTCAGAGCGAGAACGCTGGCGGTTAAGGGTTGTGATTTTCGCGTCATCTGTACACGGTCGTCCATAATCTGCCGAGAGAACCAAAACACAAATATGGTAAATACAAGCTCAGTGGTAGAAGACGGACTGATACGTGTCACTAGTTATGCGACCACTTCCTTACTTATAGTGCAACAAACCTGGACATTGAGGTTCGTACATATCTTATTCTTAAATTTATTTCAAGAAACGAGTGACGCAGCAAGTCCTTTTGCATACCGAGATGCATCGTGTAATTTTCATTGCTTCTCCTTTAACTGCCAGCGCCACGCTTTCGGTGGCGTCTTCGGAAGAAAACACCAAAAGGAAATTGTGGGTGCCGTGTGTTAAAAGTCTTTCCGCTTCGTAAAATACCAGTTGCGTAAAAACGTTTTTGTGCACCCGTGTGACAAAGGTATCCCGGATGTGTAGCGGGTACCTCGCTTATTGGCAGAATGAAAAATGGCATAGCGGGTGCTTCACTATTTTGTGAAAGTTGCACTCGACATGTAGGGGGTACCTTACATGCGCTGCGCCAGGACCGACACATGGACAGACAAGCCTAAACTCTACGGTGCTTTGCCGCTAAAATTTTGATTTATGGCGCGGTTGATACCATGAAAGTGTGCTTGCAATAGTTGCTCCAACAAAATGGGCTCTATAAAAAAAGTTCTTGCAGCTTTCGCAGTGACTGTGCAGCGCAATCCGCACAGGCCTGTCAGTTTCTTCAGTTATAAAAAATGAACATAAGTTTCATTTAGAACAAAGTGTTGAGGACTCATCTCCGCCATCTTATGTCTACATAGATTGTTTTCCTAAGATACTTTAGACAATAACTGAAAAACGTGCGAATTTTGAAGATACCTTTATTGTAGATTTTTGTACTCGGGCCTACAAGGGCTTCTATTAACGAGACGAAATTAACAGGAATTTTTTTTCCTCTGGTTTCCCCACCAATCACCAAGTTGTAACCGGAGCTTCACTTCACTCCACGGCTTCTTCGTCTTTCTACTTTCTCTTGAGGCGCTTCGTGCCCTTGCCGTGCCTCGTGCGTCTCCCGTGTGCTGTTGAAGATGCGCCGCTCGAAGCCCTCTTTGACTTTGCGCGCCTTCCTCCGCGGCCCGAGGCCCCATGACTGTGGAAGCGGCGTCGCTTTTCGCCTCGCTTCGAGCGCTTGCTCGTTGAGGATGCAGAGCTATACCTGGCACGATGGCGGCTCTCTCGGGGTCTCTTCTTCCTGTCGCGGCTTTCTTCGGACCGCGTGGCCGAACTTGTGCGGCTACGGTGTTTACGCGTGCGTCCGGCTCGGTGACTGCGGGACGAGCTCCGTGATCGACCTCGGCTCACCTTCCTGCTGACTCGGCGACGGTTCAGAGCCACGCTAGTCGCATCGCCGGTGCTGCTAGGAGGGGAGCTCCTCGAGCGCTCCTTGCGGCTGGCTCTCGGGCCGTTCTTCGCAACAGCCCTGCTGGTTGACGGCATTTGGTCATCGGGCTCCGGTGCATCTGCTTTTTTCCGCGACTTCCGAGCCACCGTAGTCGCAAGAGGCGTCGGTGCTAGCGGCTCCACCACCACGGCCTTCGGTGGTCGACCTCGTGGCCGCTTGGCAGCTGGAGCCTCGTTTGCAGGCCCGGCGTCATTGTCGGTTGAAGCAGCGGCAGCCTTGCGCTTAGCTTGCCGAGTGGCCTTCGGAGGATTCTCGTCGGCCTCCGCCTGCTTCTTCGGCATGGCGGCGTCGCTCCAAGTTCCGTCCTACCTCCAGCCGTCGACCACGTGCAGCCCGCTGTCGCCTTCAGCGTTGCCGCTCACCGGTGAGAGGGGCCCCCAGAAGACGGCTTCGGCGAGATCCCAGGCAGCCAGCCGGGCTCAGCAAGTGCCACCGACTGAGGCCGCGTTCTGCTCTCGTGCACCGCGTGGGGCCATTTCATCTTCGTCGTCTCGTTGATATCTACAGCCAGGACAGTTTAATCGACGGCCCAATGAGCAATATGAATAATCGCATTGCAACGCATACTTATAAATGTTCCTGTGATTTCAATAACGGAAGGCATTTAGTATACATGGTGCTAAACTTCGAATTGAAATGCCTGAAACGGAGTGAATTTTATCCGGGCCTTTGGTCGATCTTGAAAACAATAATGTTAACATAACAGTCACAATACTATTTTCAAAAACTAGCCCTACCAACTTAGTATACTAAGACCAAGCATCACTCTGAACAATGTTCCGAAAAAAAAAGAAAGTAAATCGACATTTGCTTGAGTCTGTTTCTTTAAACGTGCTCTCACCTTCTATCCTTTCAATTTCTTTCCCTTTTTTGTATTTCTCTCTTTCGCTGTCTTTCTAGCTCTTTCCGGATACTCGTCTTCTCGTGCATCAGAGTTGTTACAACGACCACCGGACAAATAGGTGCACGTGTTCTGGGAGCGAAGCAGGAGTTCGAGAAATGGAAGACAATAAAGAGGACGACGAGAATGCTCGCCAGTGCATGTTCATGATAAGGTCAGGATACGCGGCTCAACAAAATGCATAATAATAATAATAATAATAGTAATAATAATAATAATAATAATAATAATAATAATAATAATAATAATAAT